CTTCCGTGGTGGACATGCAGAGGGGCGTGTTGCTCAATATCTCCCTGCTTGCTGACTGTATTTTTCTTTTTTCTTCCTTTCATTTTTATGTGTGAGTATGCATCAGGAATCACTAGTCCTTTTTCATGCTGGATAAAAATACCAACTATCCCATACAACTGTGGAGTTAAGGAGATCAGTGTTGACTGCAGTGCTCTGAACACGTGTTGAACCTGTGTTTGACCCCTCCAGAGGAGACGTTGCAGGTTAATCCCTGGTTGACATCATCTAGAGCCTCTAATCTACAACAGCTTCTGCTAAACCTGCAAAGAATTTCTACATTTACTTTCACTCTCCTTTTGTAATCACTACTTTTAATATATTTCTGGTTGTCAGTTTAATAGATTGAACACCATCGTTATTAACCTTTAACTATGCCCCCCCCCCCCTTGTAGAAATAGAGCAATGGTCTATGACCCACATTCTTTCGAGGTTGGAAAGGTCTGAAGTCATTAAATTTAACAACTAATCTCAATGTAACGTGTCACTAAAAAATAGATTAAGTCTAAAAGAGGACACACGGCGGCTGCCAATATTTGGGAATGAAAATAATCTGCGGCTGCTGAGTTTAAATTGAGTGAGACTACCATTTTGATATGTGCATTGATGGGGTTTTCAGAAATTTGCTGTGATCAGTTAATACTTCACCAAAGTGGATGTTTTCAGAGCAGCAGCTCTTTGTCTTTCTATGTCTGCAATATTAAACCACTTTATTTCAGTCAAATTCCATGAACTGAACTAACAGTTTTTGATTCAGAGCCCACATGGTTGGTTTTGAGTGAGCATTGGTGTCGCTTCTGCTCAGCACATAAATGAACAGTGGACAGTGATCTCCCAAAAGTAAAACGTTTCACTTTCAACATTTGACATTTCGATGTTGTAAAATAATTCTTTTGTCCTGTATCGTAACTCTCGGATTTTTGGGTTGTATGTATTTGTTAAATAGTTATTTCTTTCCACTGATGACATGAAGTAACGACACTCCAAATGATGGTGATATAAAGCAAAATGAAAGAATAGGCAAGAAATAAAAAAAAAAAGAAATTACACATGCAGAGAATCTGTAACAATATGATTTTGTTTGGCAAAGAAGGCGCGAGTCATTGTGTAATATAACCATTTACTCAGGCAATGTAAGATTAAGTGGGTGGATGTGGGGCATCGGTTGATTGGAATTGGTTGAAGTGGTGGGGTTATTGCTGAGGAGGATGACTCTTGAACAATTCCAGGCAACAGACAAACTGGGTTAGCAATTAGCTGGAAAACATAATTGAAAATTAAACTTAGAGTTCCAGATGTTTCCTCTGGGACTGCTGAAGGAACAACACAATGCTTGCAAAACTTGGCAGCAACGAACCCATGACTCAAAGTGGCTGTTCATGCACTAACTTATTATGGCGAGCTATGTTCACAACTAATGATTAAGTTTAGGTAACAGAAACTAGACTTGTTTAATGTGGTACTAACAGTTATATAGTTCACAGTCTGTGATCAGAAACTGGCTTAAAGAGGTAAAGAGGTCCCTCTCCTGCCACAGATCTCTCTAACAGCTGTTTAAGATGCAGTTTGTATTCATAACTTCCTTTGAGAAGAGAAGATTTCCTTCCCACACACACCTGAATCTAATTTATGCAAAGAAGACACATTCACAGTGTCTTTTTCCATAGAGGATGAGACGCCATCATCTCCACCGTGGTTATACTTTGTGGCAGATGTATGTGTTTCTGTTTGTATTAGAAAGAGAACTCCCATTGTGCTGTATGGGGAATACAAATTGTTGAAGAGGTGTTTTTTTTGGCAGCACTAATGGAGATTCTGTTTACCAGAAAGAATTTGCTCAGGATTTGAAAGCTTCTCTTTCCGCTTACGTCTGATTTAATTTGATTTGTCTGGTTAAATGTATTATTAGGCTCTGTAAGCATTGTAACAAGTCCTATAAATATGTCACTTAACCTGTTGATTTAGATCAGAGGCGCAATCACTTTTCCATTTTATCTTTAACGAGGCTAAAATAATCTGAGGCTAATCTATGATGGGCAAATCCAATCACTGAAGTCAGTGCCTGTTGCGATTTGAAGTGCTGCCAGACTTTGATCGTCTCAGCGGTAAATTGATTAGAAGTGATTTACTGGTCTCCTAAATGCTGATCCTGGGGAAAAAAGGTAGATGTCTTTGATTTAAGCTGAGGCTGTGGTTGAGCTCCGGGTTAGCCCTCCTCTCCCAATTCGGCAACGATGGCAGAACGATGATGAGGCAGCACAGAAACAAGTCCCTGTTTCAGCTGCTTTTATTAGGCAAAACGCAGGTCTCTGAATGTGTAAGATAGCTGTAGCTGTTTGAGGAGCCAAGGTGGAGTCCTCTCAAGTTGCGGTTTGATTCAATTGAATTCAGCAAAGACAGAATCTATTAGATTTGAGGCAGAAATTTGGGTTTTGATATTAGAAAGGTGGCTTATATTTCTAAGAAAACTTGCCAAAGATTTAGACTACAGAGTGTTTTAGCTTCATGGTGCCAACAATGGGCAACACCTCCAGCTTTAATGTTACTATATTAAAAATGTAATAGTTGCAGTATAATAGGAAAACTAGCGGCCTCATTTTAAACTAGTTTCCCTGCAGATTATTGAGAGTGACAGTTTGTATACTATGAATAGTCATTGACAGGTTTTAATTTCATTTAGTCAAATTGAGATTTCTTAACCTTGAGCAGTTCCCTGTCCTGTAGTCCTCATACCTTATGTATACTCTGTTCTTTGTCTCAGTCCCATTTCAGATAGTTGGATGTTTTTAAAAGTGGGAAAGCTCAGTTGAAAAAAGTGGAACCCGAACACGAGCCTGACTCAAATCACCTCGTCCTTGAAAAAATGAGAAGTCTTTAAGTTAGAGTTCCTTTGCTGTTGCTGCTGGCTCCCTAATTTCTAAATAAAAGAGAACTTAAGGGCGAGAGTACTTTTAGTGTGATTTATTTTTGAAAATCTTCTTCCGCTGCACTCCCTGAAGTCTTTGGGCTGACTTCATTATTACCTTCCTTTTTATATCCACTCCAAAACTTGCATTAACCTATTTACCTCTGGTTTCTCTAATGTTTAAACCGTCCACGTTATCGTCACCTCCTCTGCGTTTCTTCACATTAGTCGACTCTGTTTCTCCATCAGAGCCAAAGATCGTATCTTGGAGCGTCTGAGAAATCGATAGTTTAAACTTTTCAGTCTGCCAGAGAGGCGGCTTCCACTGGAGCCAGCGGTGTGTAATAATACAACCCAATTCATGCACAGGACAAGCTTTCATTTCCCCATTTATTTCCACTGACACAATGAATTCATCCATGCAAACCATCAGGCCCCTCATCATTGCTGGGAACGTATTCATTGAGGAAACATGAGCCCTTTCAGTAATAATAAATTGTGCTACACTGATGCGGCAGAGGCTGATGTCGAGGTTCACAGAAGAGACCGACAGATTTCGAAAGGTTGACAAGAAAACGATGCAGGACAAGGCGCCGCAGAGCATTTCTTCTTGAAAGTGTTCAGTTGTACAATGCCTAGAAAAAACAAGGAGAAAAAAAGAGGGCATCTTTTATTCATGTTCAGTTGTCGAGGTGTCAAGAGTTTTTGTCAGACCTCTCATTGTTCTGTTATCCTTGTCTCTGTGAAACGTCCTGTCGCTATCTCTTTGGTTAAACATTACTTCCAGGCTACGGGGAAGAGCAAGAAGGATGGATGGAAAGGATGAGGAAAGGACAGAGAAAGAGTGTGAGTGAAAGAGAGAGAGAGAGAGAGATTCAATCTGTTCTTTAATCATTAAACAAACCTCGTCTCTTGAAAAGAAATGAAAGCATAAGAGGAAAGTGGCACAGTTGAGGCAGAAAAAGCACAGAGGAAAGAGTGAGAAGACTGGGAACGAAAGGGATGAGGAGCAGGGTTCAAACAGGAGGAGGGGAGGGTTTAGGAGCGACGGTGTGAAGAGCAGGGAGGGCAGATAGGAGGACACGGCACAGATGCTGCTCTGTCCTAACGTGTCCTTTGGTTCTAACTGTCCAGGTCAAAGCTTGTGCTGCATCATACCGGCTCATATACGATTGATTTGATCGTTATCTATATGTATTTGGACCTTAGATGATTAGACTAGTTAAGGTAGTTAAGGAGCCTATGCGGGCTATACTGTCTAACAGGAACTGATAAAGTGATTAATGGAATCCCAGCCTTTATGTTAGCATGTCAACTTAGATGTATAATAATTTATACAAAGACGTCACATGAAGTCAAGTGACATTTAGTATGTGTCAACAAGGCACAAATGTGTTTCTTGCTCTTTTTAAAATTCATTATTCATATTTGTTTTTTTCACAGCTCAGGAGGGTGCTATTGACACTGTCAAAACCCTTGATTTTACAACTATTATTAGGATTGAGTTAGAGCTGCTGTTCATCTTCTGCAGATCAATTTCTATCTTGTATTCCTAGACCACTAGGTCATACCATCCTGTCTTTTCTGAATTGCTCTCAATGCCTTTACAGACACACTGGGAGGAGCATTGATTAACAAATCAGGCCTGTAATTAATTCTTACTGTGATCAAATCTGAGGGAGGAAGTCCATGGTCATGTAGGTGTGGGTGTTTCACAGTATGGTGATGCTCTTTTTCACTCTACAGACGGGTCCATTTTTGACAATACACGTCAGGGGATGTTAATATATCTAATAAGTCTCTGTGTCTGCTGTTTAACATTATGGAGGAGTATAATTTTCACACATCACCACAAAATGCACTCTCAGGGAGTCTCTTCCTTTAAATATCTTTTTTTTTATATATATATCTGTCTGCTTATACAAAAAACACTGATTCTTATATATTTGTTTGACATCACTTGTAATATTTCTAATCTCCTGTCTTATGTAAGACCGTTTCTTTCTTAATTAACACACTGACCCTCATCCTCCATCTGTGTACTTACTTTGTGCAGGTTGGCTCTTTATGTGTACGAGTATCTGCTGCATGTAGGAGCACAGAAGTCAGCACAGACCTTTCTGTCAGAGGTAAGTCACCAAAATGCTTTATGTGTTTGTGTGTGTGTCAGGCTGCAGGCCATGTGCTTTATGTGTCCACCCTGAAGGGTCACCTCATACAATATGCCCAGTAAGTGTAGCAGCTAATTGAATTAGCTTGGGGTTGGTGCCGCGCCAACATGTCAGTGCGGCAGAGACTTTTTTTTTTTTTTTTAAAGCTTTAGTGCTGCGTTTATCTCGACTTTAACTGGAGTACAAGAACTTTACGACGCATACCCAATGTCTCGGGCTGACATCATCATATGGTCGGCACAGCAGCTCCATCACATCTTATTTTTCATTTTCATTCCTCTACTTTCTCTTTGTGTGGTCTTCTCTTTCCACGCCTCACCCTACTATGAGATGTGTGCTTATCTGCACTTAAATTCTGCTGAGGTTATAAAAGGTGATGGGGTGAAAATGAGGTCGTTTGATTATTGTCCTTTGCTTTGAATGATGGCAAATTACAATGTAGAAGACAGCAGTTAGAGGCTTGTTGTACAGCGGCCGGAGGAAGAGTAGAACAAAGAGAGGGGGATGGAAAAGGTTACCTCATCAGCTGGCAATGATTCTCATCATTCCGACTTGGTGTGTGCTCGCGCTCGTGCACGCACACACCTCGCTGTCTCCCTGACACCCTTTCGTCTCTGCCATTTCGCTGGCTTTCTGCTCTGCAGATGCAGGAGATGAAAAGGATAGGCGGTGTCACGTTCAAGTGTGGGAACGCATTAGCAAAGAGCGCAACAAGTATAAACACAGCCGCTTGTGTTCAATTCACATGTTCACGTGCGCACACTCTGGGTAAACATTTTGGCAAACTGAAAGATGCTTGCTGAAACAGTGGGGTGGAGAAAAAGATGGCTTTTAAGACCTGTTTTTGACTTTTATCATCCACATCAATTTAAAGCGTGTCCTCAGGCTTGAGAAACAAGAGCTCAGTTGTGGCGATTCACAAATCAGAGCCAGACGCAGACACGTAAAAGCTGAAACATAAACAGGCAGAAGAGCGGACAACACAAACTTGCTTGATCCCTTTAAACTAAACCGATGCTTCATTTGTTCCAATAGAGTGTATACGCAAACCTTTACAGAAAAAAATGGTCGTGCTGGTGGATAGACAGAAAAGTGCACTCTTTGCAACACTCATCAACATCTGCCATTAATCATGCTGACGGGATCTTGCTGCAGCATTGTAAAGGTAAATGAAAGAACCTCCAAGGAGTGCCGACCACAGGAAGGCAGGATATGGGGGCATTCTCTTTGCCTCTCCAGATGACGAGAGAATAAAACTAGAAAGTGTCCTGACATGAACTGTCTGTAATCTCTTTCAGACTGAGCTTTAACTTTTAATTTCCAACAAATGAGGAACATCATTCTTTTTTTTTTTTTGTTGTCCCATCTAAGAAATTTAGTTTTTTTGTATTTTTGTTGTTGTTTTGCTGTTGAATAAAGGAAAACTGATGACTTCCCATGTTTCATATGAAAATCTGAGTCTGAAAATCCAAATGGACGCAGTTCCTGAACGCCTCCACCTCCCCAGACAGAAAAAAAAAACACACTTCAAAGCCTGGCATTCTTTCTGAAAGTCACTGCGTCTGATCTGCAGCTGAGGTCAGGACGGTCTGATTAAAAATGTAGTGATTCAGTTTTTCCTGTTATTTCAGCGCTTGTTCATGCTTCTACTCGGGAAGTTATCCAGTCCTGTTTTTCCTTAGTCTTTCAGTGAGGAAAACTAAAATGATGAGCTCAAAGGAGGCTAGCTAAATAAGTTTCTTAAAACAGTTGTGTAACTGCTGTCTGCACTTGTAGAGAGCTGTGTGTTTACCATGTGTAATAACATGGACTTTCTCAGGAAGTCAGGAAACAATTACTTAGAAAAGTGTCTTGATCAAAGTCTTAAGGCATTAAGAGTGCTTGAAAAAGAGAGTGGTGTGAAATACAAGCTTTTAGAGATCAGATTTTACTGGTGCTCACAGACCTGCACAGAGAAACATAATTTGCCTAGCTGCAGAGGATTCCCAAAAAATGTTCCTGTATGATACCCAGACCATCAGAGTTAGCGTCCCAAAATGTTTGCTGTTCATATTTTTGTGATCTAATACTAAAACATGATGGTGTTATCTTTAAAAAGACCACCCACACCCTTATTAGTTTGTTCAGGCTCTTTTTTAAAGAAATAAACCTGCACCAACACTTGAAATATTTCTGTTGCGATTGAAGAATGAGGAACATTTGTGCTTGAGTAGCTGTGCTTTTGAGTAACAGTTTTGAACTTCTTAATTTTACATTACAAACATCTTAATGCTAGAGATGTTTTTAGCACAAACAAGCATTTACAGCGAGTTCTTCCTAAGAAGTGCCACCGTTTGCTCTCTCGGGCACAACACAGCACATCCTCAGAAAAGTGAATGCATGACATAAACCCTCTCAGCTGATGGTGGCGTGACACACAGCCATGCATTTGAAAGCGCAGAGAGTTAGACTTACACTGTTAACCAGAGCAAAAATCCTGTCACCATAGTGACTGGAATAGGCCCTGCGATGGACTGGTGGACCGTCCAGGGTGTACCCAGCCTCTCGCCCATTGAGTACTGGGATAGGCTCCAGCCCCCCTGTGACCCCATCTGGGAATAAGCAATTCAGAAAATGGATGGATGGATGGATGGATGGATGGATGGATGGTACGGGGAATGATGATGAAAAATTGAGTGTGTTTTGATGGGTTGCAACTTTTATACTCACCCACAACAAGAAGAACTCATCAACAATGTAGGACTGTTTACCTGGAAATGGCAAACCTAGAACAGTAGTATGTGTACCTGGCCCAGACACATAAAGCCTGGTTTGTAGCATAATACATAACGCATCAGTTAACTTTGTGTATCAAATCTAATTTCACGGGGATCTTAAGGTGTACAAAAGTGTGTTTGAGTTAAAACAGTTTATCTAAAATCTCAAAGAAAATGAAGAAAGCCAGTTTGAGAACAAGAGCTTTGTCTTTCAGAGAATAATTGACAATTGGACAGGACTTAAAACCAAAGTTGGTCTTTAGGAAAAATCCGAAAAGGCTAAATTGTCAAAGAAAAAGGATTTGCCCTTAACCCGTTGAACTCTAAAGTAACTCAGAGCATCGAGGGTAAATTGAGTGTGTATGTTCATTGATTTTTTTTTAGAGTTCCACGTAAATGCCTCTCAGCAGGAATCGATTGTTATGTATTTGTTCTGATAACTTTTGATATCAAATGTGTTGATATGAGAAGCCATTACAAATGTTTCACGCACAGCCTAATTCTTAAATGGAGGAAGGGATGAGGAAGGTGAAGGAATGATAGGCATGCTCTATGTGCAAAGAAAATCACAGGATAGAGATCATTCATGAGGTCAGAGATAAGCAAAGGGCGCAGCTCTCTGCAAGCTAAAGACGCAGTGATGAGCAAACCCAATGATGTGTGTGTTTTTGATTTGGCTCCTCAGGCTGGTACATGCCTCTAACATCTTACTGTGTACACTCTGACTCTGGAAAAACACAAACATTCATATTTGTGTGACAACAGGCTGGCAGGCACACATAGACTCACTTATCCACTTAAGATTCCAAGAGAAGGAAAACATAATTACCTAATGGTACGTATTATAAGAATTCCCCTGCACCCTCCTCAACCTTCTAAAGCATGTAATTCGGATGTCAGGCAAGTTTTCATTCGCAGCATGTGTCTAAAGCTTCTCTGTCTCTGTTTGTCAAGATCCGATGGGAGAAGAACATCACATTAGGAGAACCTCCGGGGTTCCTCCACTCATGGTGGTGGTAAGTGTTTTTTGTGGCTAATGACACCGAATCCATTCTCCCTAATGTTCCTTTTTCCATCAGTCTGTGACTGTCATTCCTCACTTAAACTGTTTGTCTGCAGCGTTCTGTCACGTGTCCTCTTCCCACTCAATGTGCCCCCAATCATTTATATACAGTATAATATGTTATAATGGGGCACCATAGCGCTAAAATGAATCCCATTTTTTGAAGTCAGGCTTTAATAACTCTGATCTCTGTGTTTTGCAGTGTTTTCTGGGACCTGTACTGTGCAGCTCCAGAGAGGAGAGACACATGTGAACACTCCAGTGAGGCCAAGGCTTTCCATGATTACGTGAGTCTGCACTCATGTAGCTTCTCTTGCCACCATTTGAATCTGTGATACTTCAGGTTAGTGCAGAAACCATTTTTGCAATAAGAATAAGAGAGGTGTTCAGTAAATAATCCACAGATTGAACCATTTTAAATTAATGTTTGTACATATGAATACAAAATTGATGATATCTGAAAACTGCTTGGGGAGGCACAAAGTCCTCTGTGGATATATTCTGGGACATTTGAGGACAGCAGAGCGAGAAGAGATGGTAAATCCTGCAAAGTCCCATCCTGTTATTAACGACTGAATCTAAACATTTATGGATCATTGACTATATTTTATGCTGCCTATAAATCACCTTTCAAACAAATATTTGTTTCATGTCACCGCTTTATTTGTTCAATGCTAAGTCCATTTCTGTGTGGCTAAAGAACAGAAAGGACATTGCGGATGTTGTTTGTTGTTGATTTGATTAATAGCATAGCAATAGAGGATATTTGCTACCGAAATGGGCAGAGTTGCCTATTTAGAGCATGAAGTTAGAACACAGTTTGGACACATGCCATTTGTGAACATGATCATCACAGTTTTGGTTGTCACAAAGCATTCTCAGAAATGCTGTAAAAGATTGTTTTCATTTAAGTAAATCTGACTTCTTTTTTGTACTTTTCAAATAGAGTGAAATAATGGAGGAGGCACGTTTCTTGTGCGATAGTCCTAACAAGCAGCATATGCAGATCATTTACTGTTGGCGCGTTAGACTGACAGGCAGACTGGGCAGGAAGATGGGAGCCAGTGTGACGGAAGCATCTCTCACTGCTGTGTTTTCCCAGCTTGGCTCCACTTCACTGCATGGGCTCCTGCATGTCGAGGCATGGGCTGAGTCAGTCACGTGCCGTGCAGCAACTGGTAAACAGCAAGCTGTGTCAGAACTCTGCTAGTTTTCAATTAACTTGTTACCGAGAGGGAGAAAGTGAGAATCCGCCAAGGGAGATTTTGAAATTTGCGTTTGTGTCGGTATGAAAAGGAGCGGGGATCTCTCTCCAGCTTTTTATGTTGTTGTTTTCCCTCTGTAGCCTGAAGTCTGACTCATCAGATTTGTCTGTGCAGAGGTTTATTGAGATGTATGTTGGAAGTGCACAGGTCACAGGTTTCTGCCTACCCCAGCAACATCTCCTCCCTCTCTGGGGTTCATTCCTTCTTTCCTTTAAGCTTGCGGTCCTGTAGATCTGGCAGGGGCTCACTTCTCTTTTATCTTTTTGCAGTTGTGTGTGTGTGTGTGTGCGCGCCTGCTTGCTTATGTGTGTCTGTGTGCATAACGCAGGTGATGCTGCTGATGCTGGCGATGATGATCAGGGTGATGAATAGGCACTCTGAGGACGAGGCAGCAATGTGATGATGTCATGCTGGCTCAGGGAAGGGAAAGCTGTAGGGCAGCACGACCTCGGTCCACGGAAGAAAGAGATGGAGAAAGCAGGAGATAGACAGAAAGGCAAGAAGAAAAAAATGGCCGATTCTCTTAAACGCCTCGGTACACATAAAAAGATGTTACAACAGTATCTGGATGTATAGGTACATTTTTTTTTCAACTGATCAGCATATATTTAGCATATATCCTGATGTCATTAGAGACAACCACCAGCAGCATCTCATTCATAGATCTCCTACCAGGGTGTAATCATGAAACTATAATTAGACCAATTGTAATTAGACCAAGGTCACTTTCAATCAACTGCTCCAATGCTGCACCTCTTCTCAGATCCAATCAGAGCTCCTAAACACAGATCTGCTTCTCTATTAGAGCTAGATGGAGGGACAACTGTGGTGGACATCTGGAAAAAAAAGCAGCACACCTTAATTTGAAGCTCGCGTCTCTGTCAGCTCCTGACTTTGAGACTGATGAAGATTTTAATCAAACATTTCCATGCTAATTATTTTCATATAGTTAATTACTGATTCAGTCCTAATTAATGCTAGGGAAGATGTAGGGGCTCAATTGTGTCACCGTTGTATCCTTCTCCTCTGATGATCCAAGACATTGTGACAAAGCTCTTAACCATATTTGCACATTTATCTAAATTGTAAAAATCCTGTGTAGCTACAGTCGTGTTTCAGTGCTCTGCCTTGACAAACAAACAGATATGCAGTTCCCAAAAAGTTAACAATGCAAATGCTCTGGAGATGACAATAAACAAATGCTGATTCGGTTAGAGGTTAGAGAAGACCAACAAAAATCAAATATTTGTCCTGTCTGTCTTTTTCCCCCATAGAGGAATGCTAAAGTACCAACAACAGAGCATTTACAACAAAGGGAATCCCACAGTTCAGCTTGTTCTCCATATTTAGGAGGCTACCCAACTGGAATCAAAACAGGATAACATGCCGTTGTGTGTTTGCAGGCACCAATGGAGAGCGCCTGAAAAACTATGTTCAGCCCTTAACTGGATTTGAATCTTCTTGGTCTTGGATGTTAATACAGTAATCTAATGTTAAAAAGGAAAGAGAGGAAAGACTGATGAAAGGGAAGGGGGATGCAGTGTTATTGATTTCCGTTCTCAGACGAGGCTTTTCAGGCCTCAGAAAGGCCGTTTACAGTTCTGTTAAGTGCTTTGTAAATTGTGTACTCAATACCAAATGAGCTGTTTCCATTTGCCCTGGCCCATCGAGTCATAAAAACAAGTTATTTTTAAATTCCTTGCCAAGAAATGTCTTTATTAGAGACAAAAGTCTAAATTGTCTCTCTTTTTGTAGAAATACTCATAAATCAATGTTTGTCATTTTAGACTTTTGGAGACAGTTTCAGTAGGACTACTGTTGCATAGTTGTTCCATCCAGCATCACATCTGAGCATAGACATATCACAACTACAAGAAAGTTATTCACATGTTAAAGTTTAGCTGAATTTAATGCATTCAAACTGATTTCTGCAAAAAGATTTTTTTCTCTCCATAAAACCTTCTGTTGCACCTGGTTTAATCTGATTTAGTTAAGTGGAACCAGATTTAAATTCTAAAAACATAACTTTGCAGATAAGTTTCATTTCAAGGCCTTTTTGTACCAAAAAAATTCACTTTTAATTCTACTTATCCAAGTAAAGCAAAGTAATGCGTGATCATCTGTGAATAAACATCTTTTGATGGATTATTCTTTGCACAGACTCTCACTGTGGAGGTCAGAGAGCCACTGTGGTGCAGGTCGGACTGATTTGTTTGAAAAATGTGTGGGGGGAGGGGGGAGTGAAAGAACTGCACTCAGAACTGATCTCTGAAAAACGACGCCTGCCATCTGATTTCAGCAGATAGCCAGTATCTGACAGTTGTACTGGTGGCACTGTGCAGCCTGCAGATAAGAGTGTGCTGTAACTGAAGCGGGCCGAAGTTTGAAAATGTGAGTTGTGTGAATGAAAACAGCTTTTTTGTGTTCTTTCTGCATGCAATATGGCTTGCAAGCTGTACATGTTCCTCTTATTGATGTGTGAACCTGTGATAGATTCTCAGTAAAAGATTTTGAAATAATTATTTAAAAAAATCAGTACACTGCAAACCGAAGACAAGCATACTATCAGTTATTTTCATTGTCGAGTGATCATCCATAATCAATAAGTGTAGCTACTTTTTCTACATGGCTTTAATCATCTGTCATATCAAATAAACAGGTTAGCCAGGGATTTTATTTGTTATAATCTGCAATGGCCAAATAGAAAATGCATCCAGTTTCTTACATACAACAAAGAACAACAGAAGATCGTCTTAGTGAATTACCTCAAATGGCTCAAATGCTTTTTTGCTGGAGAAGTAAATGAATTGATAAGACGACTCTAAAGTAGCCTCTTTAATAATGTTCTATTGATCAGCAAATTGATTAATGAGCTAGTCATTGTAGCATACGCTTTAGATGTGAGTGGCTTGAGTAAAGAATTATTTTTCTTTTTTTTCCTCCATTTTTGCAGGAATGATGAGACATAAGCAAAAAAAAAAAAAATGTTGCTGACACTGTTGTTCAGCATTTTTCTGGCTTATTTCGTTTAGTGCGCTCATCCATCATATTTTTCAAATGCTAACTTGGGAGTCACTCTTTAAAGAAACTGTGGTGTAAAAAGTGACAGTGAACAAAAATGCTGTTTCCTCTCCTCTCCACCCCGTACTCACTGTTCATCATTCATTAACCTATTTCAAGAGACCTGGGGAGATTTATACATATGTCTAATACATATGTCTGTCATGTGGTCAGTACTTAAAATGATTTTTTAAAAGGCACAAATGGAAAGTTACATTTAGAAAATGTCAAAGTCACTGCCACTTTTTAATAAAACAGAACAGAGGATTTTGTAGCCTTTTTTTATCAATGATGTCTAACAGTTTTCTCACACATTGGAGTCTCGAGATGTTTTAAAGTTGTTAATGAGAATTTATACATGTCGGCAAACATTCCAGAGCGTTAGGTGGAGGGTGAGGTTTTATGCGTGTGTGCTTGTTGCTCGCTTTTGTGTGATTTCCACAGCGTAACTTCTTCATTATGAGCTGCCTCTGGACTGACGTTACCCACAACCCCTCCCTCATTTTTCCAGCTGGGAAAGCACGTCTCCAGCAGAAAGCCTCCCGCTGTGATTTGCTTATGTGAACAACAACTGTGGAAGGAGACTGGATCAAGTTGTCCAAACTTTTTCCTGAACATCTCCGGTGTAAAACCGCTAGTGTTGAATCAGCCCGAGAGCAAGATTTCTGCTTCTCAGCACTCTTTTTTGTGGTTCTTTGATACCACATTTCATTATGCTCAGTAGACCTTCGGTAAGAGTCGGATCGGAGCTGGATCCCAGCCGGTCACTCACAATCTGTATCTATGGAGCTGGGCTGTTTGAACTTGTGAAGAGGCAGGTTTGGCATTTTTCTGCTGAACTATGCACAGATGTTCTGGTAAAAAATGTAACGTTGATGGTATCGCAAGTATCTCCAAATTTCCAGCATGAGTCACCCTGCTCTTAAACACTACATTCCTCTCGCAGTTTCCGGCTTTTGCAC